ACACCATTTGGTCAATTTGCATATTAGCCTTTTATTATATAGGATCCCCTATGTTGTATTCCCTGTTACATCCCCATGACTGTTTTTTTGTTTCGTTTATTTCTGCAAAGGGGCTGGGAGAGGGTCACCATTGCAGAACTGAAACTGTTCTTATAACTGGCAGTGTTTACATCTTAATCCCTTCACCTTTTCCACCCAGCCCTCTCCCAATCCCTCTCCCATCTGGCAACCATCAGTCTGTTCTCTGTATCTATGAGTTTGTTTCTGTTTTTGTTTTTATTTTTTTAAATATATTTTTATTGATTTCCGAGAGGAAGGGAGACAGAGAGAGAGAGAGATAGAAACATCAATGATGAGAGAGAATCATTGATCGGCTGCCTCCTGCATGCCCCACACTGGGGATCGAGCCCGCAACTCAGGCATGTTCCCTTGACTAGAATTGAACCTGGGACCCTTCAGTCCGCAGGACAATGCTCTATCCACTGAGCCAAACCAGCTAGGGCTGTTTTTATTTTTTAAATATGTTTTTATTGATTTTGAGAGAGGGAGAGGGATAGAGAAATAGAAACATCGATGAGAGAGGAACATCATCAATCAGCTGCCTTCTGCAGGCACCCCTACTGGGGATGGAGCCCACAACCTGGCATGTGCCCTGGCCAGGAATTGAACCTGTGACCACTTGGTCCCTGGGTCAATGATCAACCGTTGAGCACACCAGCCAGGCTGTTTTTATTTTTTAGATTCCACATATAAGTGAAATCATATAGTATTTGTCTTTCTCTGCCTGATTTATTTCAATTAGCATAATACCTTATAGGTCCATCCATGTTGTCACAAATGGCAAGATTTCATTTAAAGATGACTTTTTAAAACTAATCCTATATAATAAAAGGCTAATATGCAAATACTAGTAGACCAAACGACGGAACAACCAAACTGAACAACCGGTTGCTATAGCATGCGCTGACCACCAGGGGAACGCGCGCAGAACATGGTGGGTGTCGGCAGCAGGCGGCAGAGCACGGAACATGGTGGGCGTCAGCCGTGGCGGGATGGTGGAGCTGGTGAGCAGGGGTGCCAGACCAAGGCGGAACATCGGTCACTGTCATCAGGGCAAGCCTCTGGTGATTACTGAAAATTCTTTGCTCCTGGGTGCCGCAGTCCAACCTGGTGCTCGTACCTGCTGCTGGTGCCGAGTGCTGGCCCTGATCTTTCGGGACCATAGTGGGGGCGAGCAGCAGCTGCTGGCCCCTATCGCCCCTCAGGTTTCTCTACCTCCCCCTGCTTCTGAGGGGCAATCAGGAGCAGCAGCAGCCACCACTCACACCCACTGCTGGCACCAGCCCCAATCACTCTGCGCCATCAGCGCATGGGAGCAGTGGTGGGAGTGGGGCTGCCAGCAAACAGGGGACCCGGGGCCACAGCAGGAGGGATCGGGCTGGGGCATGGAGGATGGGCCTAGACCAGTGATGTGTGTCAGAGGTGACACGTGAACTCATTTTTTTGGTTGATTTTTCTTTGTTAAATGGCATTTAAATATATAAAATAAATATCAAAAATATAAGTCTTTGTTTTACTATGGTTGCAAATATCAAAAAATTTCTATATGTGACGCGGCACCAGAGTTAAGTTAGGGTTTTTCAAAATGCTGACACGCCGAGCTCAAAAGGTTCACCATCACTGGCCTAGACCCACCCCTGTGCCCACCTCAGCCTCGCGGCCTTTCAAAGGAACTGATGAAACAGTTCCTTTCAAAGTGCACAAATTCGTGCACTGGGCCCCTAGTAATAATATACAGTAAAGACTTCCAACTTCATTCCCCCTTCTATCTCCAAGCTCATCTATTCCTCAACCCCAGGGCTCATTCCTGCACTGACCTTGCCCTAGCAATCACCTTTCATTTCATTCATTCCTTCTCCTAGGCTTCCCAGGACTCTGGGCTCTCAGAGTACAATGTTGGACAGAACAGACTCAGATCCAGTCCCAGAACACTCCCTAATACACAATAGGTTCTCAAGAAAAGCTTTTAGAAGGAGTGAAAATGGGCTTAAGTCCACACTGGCAGGATAAACAGTTGACCCTTCCAGTTCATCTTTGAAATTTTCTGGTTGGCAAGCTCCAAACTGAGTGACAGGGCAACATGCCAAGGCCAAGGTTCTTTCCCAGATGAACCCCGACTACTTCCCCAGCCTCATCTCCCTACTCCCTCCCACCCAAAGCTACGCCGCTTCCCTGAACAAGGCTGGTTCTCTCGGGCCTTTGCCACTTTGTCCTTTAAGGCTCTGCTCCAAGGTCACCTCTTCCAAGAAGGCACCCTGGAATCCAGACAGAGTCCCTTTGTCAGTGTCTCCGCTGCAGGGTTCAGTTGAATATTGCACCCACCAATTCAAGAAGTACTGTACTCTGCAGGGCCCATGGTAACTCAGCTGACAATGCTCCTCAAGGCCACCAGGGGGCGCTTTCAGTTGCTCTTAGGATTAACAGTTAAGATGCCTTTTGGGTTCAAATCCTGGGTCCTCCATTCTGAACTCGGAGCTAGTGACAGCACCTCTCCAAACCTCTATTTCTACAGATATGGTCATCAGGTGGATTAGGTAAACTGTGTCCTATAAAGTGCTTGGAACAGTGTCGCTTTTAGGACATTCTCAGATTATATTAGGGGCAGCAGCATGCAGGGTCTCAGCAGGAAGCAGACAGAAAGTTCAAGCTGAGTGACAGGGGAGAGTTTAATAGAGACTCTTTACAAGGTGGAGGCAGGGAGGTGGTGCAGCCCCCAGGGCTGGAACGATGGGAACTTCTCCTATCCCCAGGCCTGCATGGCAGCCGTTACCCAGGTGTGCAGAGAGGACCTCCTGATTGGAAGTGTGGTCTTGGATGGAAGGACAACCCCACATCAGGGAGGGAGCTAGGGAATAAAGACCCCTCCCTCACCCTAAACGGTTTGCCTCAGTGGATAGAGCATCAGCCTGCGGACTGAAGGGTCCCAGGTTCGATCTGGTCAAGGGCATGTACCTTGGTCTGAAGGTCCCCAGTTTCGATCTGGTCAAGGGCATGTACCTTGGTTGCAGGCACATCCCCAGTCAGGGGTGTGCAGGAGGCAGCTGATCAATGGCTCTCTCTCTCTCATCGATGTTTCTAATTCTTTATCCCTCTCCCCTCCTCTCTGTAAAAAATCAATAAAATAAAATAAAAATTTTTTAAAGACCCCTCCCTCCAATCTCTCACCAGTGTCCCCATTGACCAAACCAAACAGGAAGCTAGAGGCCAAGAAAGACCAGTGTAATCCATACAGAACGGCCCAAGGTCTGAGCACATTCCCAAGAGTATGACAGGGAAAGGCAGAGAGTGGGTCTGAAAAAGCAAACAAAAATATGCAGCATACTCTTAGTATTATTGATCTTATTGTTAAGAAGGTAAGAAGAATACTAATAATAGTATTGATTGTTTTTTTTAATTCCTCATCATGGTGTAAGAGGTCCTTGAAGGTCTGGTCCCCCTCTTCCTACCCTGTTACTCCTACCTCCCCTATTGCTCTCTGAAACGCAGGGAGGGGGTGGGAGAGAACCTTCAGGTCTACACATCTGTCATAACTCCTTTAACAGTGCACTTAGCCTTGGTGCGTCTCAGTGTATGTAAACTTTACCTGAAAACTAAACAAATGAGAATGAGCTGTAAGTAATATTGAACTTCAGTTTTTTGTTTGTTTGCGGGGTGTGGTTTTTTTTTAATTCTCACCCTAGGATATGTTTATTGATTTTAGAGAGAGAGGAAGGGGGGGGGGGGAGAGAGAGAAACATCAATGTGAGAGAGAAACATTGATCAGTTGCCTCCAAGACATGCCCCAACCAGAAATCAAACCCACAGCCTTTTGGTGCATGGGATGATGCTCCAAGCGAGCCACCCTGCCAGGGCCGAACTCTTGTTAATGTCACACATGGGATCGTATTGAGAGGGAAACGTACTGGTGACGGCAACTCACTTTGAAATGACGGGCAGACCCAGGGAGAGAAAGGTGGGTGAGCATGTGATGAAGCAATTAGAGTCAACTGGTAATTGTCGAATCCAGGGGTACACCTGTGTTCACTGTAAAATTATTTCAACTTTCCTGCATGTTTGCAGTTTCTCATGAAACATGTTTGCGAAAATATAAAACATTGGCGAGGGTGTTGAGTCAGCACAGATGTTTGGGTTTTCTTGGTTAGCGGAGCCGAGAAAACAGAATTTCTCTGGGACTTTCCACAGAAACCACAGCCACTTCCCTGCTGCGCTCGAGGAGGAATGCTGCCAGCGGCCCAGGCCCCGCTCCTGCGGAAGTCAGCCTTTCAGTAGAAAACGCAGGGAAGAGAGAGGCGGAGACCGAGGCCTCTGGTGGAAAACCCTGCGGGGGAGACATCTGCTTCGCATCTGAGCTCATTTATTATTCAGTCAACAGACATTTATTGAAACCCTCCTCGGTGTCTGGCCCTGACGTGAGCAGCGGCGCTAAAAACAGCCCTGGCATTGCCCTCAGGGGACTGAAATCCAGGGGCAGAGAGAGACTTGTTCTTCAGATGGAGATGATGCAAAGGGATCAGGACAATTCCGGGGGGAGCCCTGGGGCGGTGGGGGCCCCAGAGGAGGCACCTGATCCCGACTGGAGAGGACTTCCTGGGCTGAGTCTTGAAGGAGTAGGTGTCAGCCAGGCAGAGAGAGGGCAGGACGAAGGAACGGGAAAGGCTGGGCATGAGCAGCAGAATGTGGTGCTCACAGAAATGTCAGTCAGGGTGGGGAGAGGCTGAAGATAAGCCGGGAGCAGTGTGCAGGGTGCTGAAGGGCAGGTCTGGCCTCTGAAGCCGCGGGAGCGTCTGGGCCTTGTCCTGACAGCGCTGGGAAGCGGGAAGGGTTGCAGCTGGTGGGAGGCCTTGGCCAGATCCGCACACAGGCCAACTGCAGAGCAAGTGGAGGGGGTGGGGGAGGCCCCAGTTACGCCGCCCTGACAAACAACTCCAGAACGCAGGGGCTCAAAACAAACAAGGTGTATTCCTCACGCGCTGACATTTGTCTCGGGCTCCCAGGGCCCTCTTCCCCATCGTCCTCACTCCCCCACCCTGGCCCTTCCCGTCGGGAAGGTGGGTGGTGTCGTCCACAGGGCAGAGAACCTCCGCTCAAATGCTTCCACCTGGAAGCACCCTTGTCGCTTCTGCTCTTATTTCTGTGGCCGCACGTCTTGCAGGTGCGGGAAAGGCGAGCCTCCCCGGTGCCCAGGATAGAGGGGGCCTGGCTATAGGTGACCAGGGGCAATGCCACCATGAGATGTGAGCGCCAACGCAGCGAGAACAGGACGTAGGCAAGACGCGAGGGAGCCTGGACTCAGAGAGGGGACATAGAAGAAAATGGATCGATTTGAGAAACATTTGGGAATCACACAGAGTTCTGTATCTGCCGGTGGTCTGTCCGAATTCCTTATTCTAAAAAATAAAAAGGAAAACAAAGAAAAATAAAAATATACAAGGTAACATTTACATGCCCAGAGCGTTTCTAAACCAGTGCCGTCCAATAGAGACATGATGTGAGCCACATATGTCGTTTTTAACTTTTTAGGAGCCACATTAGGAAAAGCACAAAGAAACAGGTGAGGTTATCATATTTTAACCCAATATATCCAAAATATTAGCCTTTCAGAATGTGATCTATACAAAAATGATCAGTGAAGTATTTTATGTTCTTTTATTTTTCCTACTTAGTCCTCAAAATGCTGTATTTCACCTTCGCAGCATGTCTCTATTCAGACCAGCCACATGTCTCTCTTTTTTTTTTTAACTACATTTTATTTACAAAATGTATATACTGAATACTATTTGTGTTTTGTCACCATGGAAAGACCTCCACAGCCAAGTCAGAGAGGCCAGAGAAAGATGGGGCCCGCGGGAAGGCAGGGCGCCATACTGCACAGGGCAGACACAGACATATTGGCTACGGGTATCCTCACAGCAACCCTGTAAACTAGGCACTAGTATCGCTTCTCCTTTAGAGAAGAGGAAACTGAGGCACAGGAAGATGAGGGACTTGCCCCAACTCACAAAGTGGCGGAGGAGCAGAGCTTTGGACCCAGACAGCGGAGCTCCTTGGGTGCCGACTGAGATGGGGGGCTACACAGGTCACATATAAGGTGGGTGAGCGAGCACCCACGGGGCCACTCCACCCTCAGGGGATGGCTAAGCATAGACAGAATGATTATTATTTTTTAAATATGTTTTTATTAATTTGAGAGAGAGAGAGAGGGGTAGAGGGAGGAAGAGAGAAAAAGAGAGAGAGAGAAAGAGAGAGAGAGAGACATTGATGGGAGCCTGCACACCAGGAATCAAACCGGTGACCTTTTGGTGCACAGGACGACGCACAACCAGCTGAGCCACACCAGGCAGGGCGAGATTGATGGTGATTTTTGAGGACCCTGAAGGGGAAACCCACTGTTGGACCCAAGCAAGAGGGCGTGGTGGGATGAAGGGATAGGGGAGAGGATTGAATTACCTTCCCCTTACTTGCCGCAGGTTGCCAAGGAGTTAGAAAAATCCCCTTGGGAATCTGGCTGCAGACTGGTGGCTGCAAATGCACAAATGCCGATTCTTTACGTTGGATGTGAGACAGGCCAGGAAGCCAGGACAAGTGGGACAGGGAAACTGAGACAGATGCCGAACAAACCCAGAGCAATTTACAGCAGCTACAGAAGGTCGCCTCCCGACAGATAACATCTAGGCCTCAGTTGTATTTCAGCTCCAGACCCAGAAAAGCAGCAAAACCAGGTGGGCCACACCAGGACCAGCTGCCATGACTGACAGCCCCGCCCTGACACTGACCAGTCCGTGGAGACCAGGACCCTGGAGGAGCACACCTGGAAAAGCGATGAATAGTCTGCTGAAACCCTCCCCTAAGACTCCCGCCTGAGCGAAAGAGATAAAAGCCTCAAGACAAAAGACCCACGTCCTAACCCAGTGGTTCTCAACCTTCTGGCCCTTTAAATACAGTTCCTCATGTTGTGACCCAACCATAAAATTATTTTCGTTGCTACTTCATCACTGTCATGTTGCTCCTGTTACGAATCGTCATGTAAATATCTGATATGCAGGATGGTCTTAGGCGACCCCTGTGAAAGGGTCGTTCGACCGCCAAAGGGGTCGCGACCCACAGGTTGAGAACCGCTGCCCTAACCGGTTTGGCTCAGTGGATAGAGCGTTGGCCTGTGGACTAAAGGGTCCTGGGTTCGATTCTGGTCAAGGGCATGTACCTTGGTTGCAGGATCAATCCCCAGTAGGGGGTGTGCAGGAGGCAGCTGATCAATGTTTCTCTCTCATGAATGTTTCTAACTCTCTATCCCTCTCCCTTCCTCTCTGTAAAAATCAATTAAATATATTTAAATTAAAAAAAGAAAAAGACAAAGGATCCAGGACACACTCTCCTTCTGGGGAGCAGTCCCTGCCATTCCTTTCCCTCTCCCCCACTTCTCCCCCCACGGGCATCTCCTAAACTCTCAAGGACCCCACGAGGCTTGTAACCCGGGGAGCAATGGGCAACGGCAGCTCATCCCAGGCCAACCCCGAACCTGTTCCCAAGGCCCCTTTTCTCCGACTTCCCAGAGAGCGAGGGCAGCCGGCCTAGGCGATCCTGTTGCTTCTTCATTGCTAAGCCTTTTCCTGTTTTACGGTTCCCTCACAGTCACCTGGACTCACGTTTTGAAATGTTTCCTGCGTGAAGTCAAAAACCCACACACTACCGCTGGCCCTGGGCAGACCCGCCAAGAGCCAAGCTCTTTTCCCAGTAACAGATGAAGCACGACCCGGGAGTGGGCTCCTTGTGAAGGCACAGAAGGAATGGGCCTCTCTTCAATGCCTGTGTGGTGTGCCTGCCCTGGAATAAAATTCTAGTCTCTCATTGAATCACCCTCCCTTTCCAAATGGGGAAACTGAGGCTCAAGAAGGCACAGGCTTGTCCAAGATCACACAGGAAGGATGGAAAAGTCCCCTCCCACCCCCATCCCTTTCCAGAGGCAAGAGCATTTATTGCCTTGTGGGTATTTCCTGAAATACAGTGGGGCCTTGACTTACGAGTTTAATTCGTTCTGAGACCGAGCTCGTTAAGGAGCTCGTTAACTCAAATTACTCTATCAACTCAATGCAAAAAATCAGCCGAGAGACAGCTGGTATCTCAAAAAACTCGTTAGTTCGGACACTCGTAAGTCAAGGCCCCACTGCATCTATAAACATTCACACAGAGATCATTTTTAACACAATGGTGGCACACTGTTCTGCATCTTGCGCTTTTTTTTCATGAACAAGATCAAAATCTCTCCAGATGAGTATATATAGATGTGCCTTGTAGGTTGTTGTTTTTTTTTTCATGTGTTGCATTTTTTTAAATTTTTCAATTATAGTAGGCATTCAATATTATATTCATTTCAGATATAAGTGATCCTGATAAGTCTAGTACCCATCTGACACCATACATAGTTATTACGATATTATTGACTATATATTCCCGATGTTGTACTTTACATCCCTGTGACCATTTCGTAACTGCCAGCTTGTACTTCTTTTTTTTTTTCTTATTAATACAGTATTTATTTGTCTTCCTTCTGTCAAACCCTGAGCCAACCACTTTCCCCAGGCTGCCTAGGGAGGTATAGGAAAAGGAACATACAGGGCAGACAAGACACGGGAAAAAGAACTATGGGAGGTGGAGACAGCTCCTTCACATGGTGAAGAGGATGAGAAAGGCCACCATCAGGCAAAAGAGCCCCATGGCCTCTGAGAGGGCAAAGCCCAGATGGCGCAGGAGAAGAGCTGTTGCTTCAGAGAAGGGTTCCTGGCATAACCAATGATGAGGCTCCCAAACACAGTCCCAATTCCAGCCCCAGAGCCTGCCACCCCTACTGTGGCAGCCCCAGCCCCAATGAACTTGGCTGCTGTGTCGATGTCCCTTGAAATGGCACTGGTTTGGAAGCTACGGCTAGAAATAAGTGAGGTCAGGGGACGTGGGGCTGCCAAGCTGCTGAGGCTCTCATCTGTCAGTGTCTCTGGTCATTTCAGCACCACTGCAGACAGTGACCGGCTCAGCTGAGAGGTGCTTGGACCAAGGAGGGGGTGGAGACAAACTTGGTGCAGGCATACATTTTCAGGGGGTGAGGGGAGCTGCTCCCAGTGCAAAGAAGACAGCAGCTTATACTTCTTAATGCCTTCGCTTTTTTCACTTAGACCCCCTAAACCCTCTCCCCCCTGGCAACCATCAGACTGTTCTCAGTATTTATGAGTCTGTTCCTGTTTTGTTTGTTTGTCTTTGTTGATTCTTTAGATCCCACATATAAGTAAAATCATACGGTATTTGTCTTTCTCTGACTTATTTCACTTAGCATAATACCCTTGTCTTGTTTTGTTCAGTGTCCATAAAGCACCAAACTGTCTAAATGTACTACAATTAACTTAATCAGTCCCCTCTTAATAAACCTCTAGGATATTCCTAGTTTCTTGCCATTACCAATACTACTGGAATTCAGAGCCTTTAAGCAGACCTTGTGTCAGCCATATGAACCCATCTCTCCACGATGAATTCCTCGGAGGAAAACTGCCAAGTCAAACATTATGCACGTTTGTCACTGTGAAAAGCATTTCCAAATTGCGCTCAAATTCCCCCTCTGCCGCTGGCTGACCGCCCATTTCTCAAAGGGGCTTTCTGCTCTCTCTGAACGGCTTGAATGTTTGTCTCACAGCAAGAAGGTCTCCATGTGTTTCTTATGCAATTAAAATGAAATGAGCCCTTCCTTAAAAACACAAGCCCAGAAGAAGAGAAACCAGCAAGGCCAGTCCTGGCAGACGCTCCACCTGTCTCCTGCCTGCTGCCTTGTCCCCAGCCAGCCCTGCCAGATGTTGAAATCTGTTTCTCAAGCGTAAACATGGACCTCAACAATCAAACTTTGGAAAAAAACATGGGCAGCAGATGAGGTCATTTTTCTCCCTCTGTTGCTTTTCATCTGCCTAGATTCCCCTGCCCCTGTGTCCTTCCTCCATCTCCTCCTTCCTCTTCTCTTCCTCTGACTCCTGATTTAGTGAGTGCTGTGCTGAAAACATTTTATTTATTTACTTATCTATTTTACTTATTTATTTATAAATATATTTTTATTGATTTCAGAGAGGAAGGGAGAGGGAGAGAGAGATAGAAACATCAATGATTAGAGAGAATCATTGATGGGCTGCCTCCTGCACGCCTCACACTGGGGATCGAGCCTGCACACCAGGCCTATGCCCTTGACCAGAGTCGAACCCAGGACCCTTCAGTCCACAGGCCAACGCTCTGTCCACTGAGCCAAACCATCTAGGGCTGAAACATTTTTAAAGCTCTGTCCAGTTCAACAAAAGAACACTTAAGTTATGCAGAACCTTGCATTTTTTAACAAGAAAGAGAAAAGGAAAGGAAAGCGCAGCTAGGAGTAGCCATTGGAAGAGCAAAACAAAGATCTACTTTAAACACATTAAGCTCTTCCTTTGTCGTCCTTTCCTTTCCCTTTCTGAACAGAAGCAAGTTGGAGAGGGGGATGCAGGGCTCAGAATAGGGTGGGAGGAGCAGGTGTCCACCCCAGGGGCTGTGGGGTGTGGGCAGGGGCAACTGTAAAAGACTGGCTACTTTCGGGGAATTGAGCACAGAAGTAAGTATATCAAGGACATTGAGGGCCAAAGTTCTCACTCATAAAGAAATGAACTACAATTATGCAAAGGGAGAAAACTACTAGTAAAATGAACCCTATATGAGGGGTTGGAATTGGAGATAGAGTAGCCTCCTGATTTTCAAGATATAGAGATAGATGTAGAATAACTATAGATGTACATGTGTGTGTGTAAATATATCCATATTTCCCACTTCTGTCCACTGAGAAAGCCTGGGTGCAGCAAGAACCCAATAGCAACAACCACAGCTATTGGTCCCAAATCGTGGTTTCTACATGTCACCCTCCAGCCAGAGCCGGCTTGAGCATCGGCCCTCTGACGGAAGGGTCTTGGGTTCTGTTCCAGTCAAGGGCACGTACCTCGGTTGCCTCCCAGCCCAGGTCGGGGAGGGTGCAGGAGACAGCAAATCTATGTTTCTCTCACATCGATGTTTCTCTCGGTGTGTCTCTCCCCGTCCCTTCCACTCTCAAAATTCAATGGGGGGAAAAATATCCTCGGGTGAGGATTAACAAAAATAAGTAAGTAAATGTCATCTTCCAGTGAAATGTACCAGGGCTTCCTGGAGTAAAGGCTAATTCTAGGACGGGCACCGTGAAAGGACAAGGTAAGCCTGGCAGGCTTGTTGTGCCAGGAAGCAAAACAAACAAACAAAAAAAATGCTCGAAGAATGATGGGGACAGGTTGAAAGGACTCAGCGACCAGCTCACAGGAGCTCCCACAGGTCAAACTGGGGACAATTGGAACATGAGAACAAACCATGACTATAAGAGATTATAATCCACCGATGCTATGAGTCTATAAATTAATAAATCAAAAGTGTGATGAGGAGCGCTCTCACACCTTTCTTCCCTCTCAGGCATGCATCTCCTAAACTCTAAGGGTCCCCACAAGATTTGCAACAAGGGGAGCAACGGGCGGCAGCAGCTCGTCCCAGGTTTACCCCCTGAACCTGTCTCCAAGGCCTGGGACTTACTGCCCTCTGGGCCCACACAGCCCCACGTGGCTCACTTTCCTGTCATGTTTCCAGGCTCCCTTGTTCTCCCACCCTAAGCCCTTCCTTGTCTCACTGCCCCCAGCTTTAATAAACATACTCTCAAAATAAAAGAGAAAATGTGGTGAGGAACGGGATATTCACACAGCCCCTGAATGTCTCCCCAGAAAACACCTTCATTACAAAGTGGGGAAGGGTGACTTCCAGGGGAGAAGCCTAGAAGAACCGTCTCTCCCAAGCGATCAAATCGATCAAATCGACTGTCCTGAAAGCGACCCTCCTGAGGGGGTGTGAGAGAGCCTAACATCTCCTGGGACACTCCCACCCGAGATGCATAACCAGAATCTGATCGGGAGAGGATGCAGACCAAGGCAACCGATGGACATCCCACCCCAAAACTGGCCTGTGATGTTCATGAGAGTCATGACGGCCAAGGGAAGAGGGGAGAATTCTTCCAGACCAAAGGAAGCTAAAGAGACAGGACAGCCGAAACCGGTTTGGCTCAGTGGATAGAGCGTCGGCCTGCGGACTGAAAGGTCCCAGGTTCGATTCCGGTCAAGGGCATGTACCTGGGTTGCGGGCACATCCCCAGTAGGAGATGTGCAGGAGGCAGCTGATGGATGTTTCTCTCTCATCGATGTTTCTAACTCTCTATCTCTCTCCCTTCCTCTCTGTAAAAAATCAATAAAATATATTTAAAAAAAAAAAAAGAGAGAGACAGGACAGCTCAGTGCAAGGACAGAGCACAGCTTGAACCCTTTACTGTTGTTGAAAAGAAACAGGCCCAAATGGCGGGTTGGTCTCTCCCAGGAAGAGAATTTTAAACCAACCCATCTGGAATTTCCTGATCCGCACGAGTGAGGTAATCTGCCCATAAAACCTTCCATTTTGTACAGCTCCTGGGAGCTGCCTTCTGTTTGCTAAGTGGGACGCTGCCCGATTGGTGAATCATTCAATAAAGTCAATTAGTATTTAAATTTATTCGGCTGTCGCTGTGGAAAGCCGAGTTACCCAGGTGGGGCTGCTGTCAGCATGGAGTTACCTCAAAAAACTAAAAATGGAACTGCCTTATGGCCCAGCAGTGCCACTTCTGGGAATTTATCCAAAGAAACCTGGAACACTAACTCGAAAGAGGACGTGCACCCCTCTGTTCATGGCAGCGTTATTTACAATAGCCAAGATTTGGAAGCAGCCCAAGTGCCCATCAGTAGATGAGTTGAGAAAACAGCTACGGTACATTTACACAGTGGAATACCACACAGCTGTAAAAAACAAAACAAAAAACAAAAAAAAGCCGAAACTGGTTTGGCTCGGTGGATAGAGCGTCGGCCTGTGGACTGGGGGGTCCCAGTTTCGATTCCGGTCAAGGGCATGTGCTTGGGTTGTGGGCACATCCCCAGTGGGAGGTGTGCAGGAGGCAGCTGATCGATGTTTCTGACTCTCTGTCTCTCTCCCTTCCTCTCTGTAGAAAATCAATAAAATATATTTAAAAAAAAAAAAAAAAAGGAATTCTTACCCTTTGCAACAGCATGGATGGACCTGGAAAACATTATGTGAAATAAGCCAAAGAACAGCAAGTACCAAATGATTTCACTCATATGTGGAAATGAGCTAACAAGCAAAATAGAGACACTCATAAATACAGAGCAGGCAGGCAGCTCTGGTTGGGGGTGGGGTGTTGCAGTGTGGGGGAGGGGTGGGGATTGAGCAAAAAAGAAAGAACTCATGGGCATGGACAACAGTGTGGTGATTGTGGGGAGTTGGGGGCTGGAGGAGGAAGAGGGTATGGAGGGATAAATGGTGATGGGGAGAAAAGTAAAATTTAATTTAAAAGTAAAAACAAAAATTAAAAAACACGTACTGCATGACTGAAAACTAAAACAAAAGACCTGCATGACTCATTCTAACAGGTAAATGTACTCGGCTGAATTTGTGTTAATACTGTGAAGGCCATTTATTGGGACAGCTGGTGACACTTGAATGGAGTATGAGGATTAGATAGTAGAAACTTATCAATGCTAATCTTTTTTATGTTTGAAGTTATCCTTTGGTTCCGTGAAGGTCCTTGTTTGTAGGAAACACACACTAAACATTGTGGGGCATAATATTGGCAACTTACTCTCATATGATTTAGGAAAATTAATTTCTTGGTACTGTACGCACAACTTTTCTGTAATTTTGAGATATTTCCAATTAAAGATTAAAGCAGTGCTTTTTTTGTTTTTGTTAACCCTCACCTGAAGCTATTTTTTCCATTGATTTTTAGAGAGAGTGGAAGGGAGGGAGGGGGGAGAGAGAGAGAAAGATCGATGTGAGAGGCACATCGATTGGGCCCAACTGGGTTGGGGATCCAACCTGCAACCCAGGTATGTGCCCTTGACCAAGAATCGAACCCAAGACCCCTCTGTGTGAGGACCGATGCTCTAACCACTGAACTCACCGGCCAGGGCTAAAGCAGTGCTTTAAAAACTTGTTTGAGCACATAGGAAATAAGAAGCTTTTTTTTTTTTACTTTTTTAAAAATGTTTTTATTGATTTTTAGAGAGAGAAGAAGGGAGAGGGATAAAGAATTAGAGACATCGATGAGAGAGAAACGTCATCAACTAGCTGCCTCCTGCACGCCCCCTATGGGGGAATCGAGCCGGAAACCCAGGCATGTGCCCTGACCGGAATCAACCAGTGACATCTTGGTTCCTGGGTCGACGCTCAACCACTGAGCAACACTGGCCGGGCAAGAAATTTTTTTTATATCAAGACCAGTACAAAACATGTTTGTGAACCTGAAACAAACGCAGCACAAAACAATATCTCCTTGCTTAAAAAGATAATATCGAATATGGTTTTTAAGAAGTGGAATATAACACAGAAAAATAAATCCCAAGAGAAACGGTAACGAGATAAGCCCCAACACCACTGGTAGAGACTCAGTGAATTGATGTCATGACCTACCCTCTCTGCCCAGTCTTCTTGCAAGAATAACAAGAGCGCCGAACCAGTTTGGCTCAGTGGATAGAGCGTCAGCCTGCGGACTCAAGGGTCCCGGGTTCGATTCCGGTCAAGGGCATGTACCCTGGTTGCGGGCACATCCCCAGTGGGGGGCGTGCAGGAGGCAGCTGATCGATCTCTCTCATCGATGTTTCTAACTCTCTATCCCTCTCCCTTCTTCTCTGTAAAAAATCAATAAAATATATTTAATTAAAAAAAAAGAATAACATGCTGTATCACACCCGGGCTCTGTCCTAAGTACCGTGCAGATATTGCTTAATCCTCACAACTACTTTAGACGGAAGGTAATGTTAATGTCCATCTTAAAGTTGCAGAAACTGAGGCCACGAAAGATTAAGTAACACGTCCAAGGCCACACAGCTAGGAAAAGGTGGGGCTGGCTTGGAACTTTAGCCCGACTTCACAACACGCTGCAAAGGGGATATTATTATCCCTCGCTTGGCTGATTGAGAAACGCAGGCTCAGAGAAGCAAAATGGCCAGCCCAGGGTCATGCTGATATTGAAAGCAGAGACTAGTCCCCGAGAACAGTCCTGCACAGTCAGGGAGACATGTTGTCATGCTTAGATCCCAAATCAGGAACCTCTATTTGTTCATTGAACCCAATTATGAGAAGACAGCACTCCAGTTTGGCCAACACGCCAGCTGTCCATCTAACGCTTCCCTGTCCATGTGGCAGCCACAAGCTCATTTAAATGTAAGCTAATTCAAATAAGATTAAAACACTGCAGTCGCACACCCATCACTTGTGCTCAGTGCTCACGGCTCCCACAATGCACAGCACAGACTGGAAGCTCTGCTGGGCAGGGAGGAGCCTGGAGATTGTTGGCCAGGGCTGAACAATCGCTCCTTCTAAAGGGGGACTGGGCTCTTCCGGATACCCTTTCATTACATGCCAAACGCAGGAGCACATTCCATCAGATATCCTGTCAACAACCACACGTAACTGTGCTTTTACTGAAGTGGCACTGTCATATTTTCGTGTAAATTAATTCAGGAAAGAAAAGCCCATTAATTAGCCCGTAATCCCCAGCTTGGGTTTTAATCCATGGTCGTGACACCTGATGGTACCTATAACTCTCACCTGGTAGATTTCTTCCCCTGAATGGATTTACCTGGTCGAAGCCAGCCAAGGAGAGATGCTGATCCCGGCACAATTCTGACTCAGCCCATTGGAAAGTTTATTATGACATTCATCGAAGCAATTAGGATTACAGTACACTAACAACTGAATGTATGCTCCTGATAGACAGGTCAGAGGCAGGGTGGAGACTAGGAAAGAATAACAGAAAGATGAAAGGGTGTTTTTTTTTTTAAAAGATTAAAGATAAGAGTGAGGGGAGGAAATGCCAGCTGGCTAAATTTTTCCCCAGTCTGTTGCTGACACACTCTCTGACCAGGCCTCAGGCTCACCACCAACACCCGGTGGATTAAAATCACAGGTCTTGCCCTAGCCGGGTTTCCCAGTGGTTAGAGTGTTGGCCCTTGGACTGAAGGGTCTTGGGTTCAATTCTGGTCAAGGGCACATACTTTGGATCCTGTGATCGATCCCTGGCCCTGGTCCAGGCACGCGTAGGAGGCAACTAATTAATGTGTCTCTCTCACATTGATGTTTCTCTCTCTGTGTCTCTCCCCCTCCTTCCCACTCTCTCTAAAAATCAGTGGGGGGAGAGGGTAGGGAGATAAATAAATAAAAAGATAAGATCATGGGTCTTTTCTCTGTTACACCCTAGAGTCCAGAGCTGAAATAATGGAAATTTCCATATCTGTACTGTCCATACAGTAACCACATGTGGCTACTTGAGCACTTGAAATGTGACTGAGGAAGTGAATTTTAAATTTTATTTAATTTTAATTTTAATGAATTTAAACTTACATGTGTACAGCAACATGTGGCTGGTGGCTACCATATTGAACAGTGCAGCACTAACTGGTGAGCCGTAGATCAGGGCAGGGCCTTCCCATCTGTGTCCCACAACACCTCACATGCAAACTAGATGTTTTGGGGGCACCCTCTAGGGCAGTTGTTCTCAACCTTCCTAATGCCGCAACCCTTTAATACAGTTCCTCATGTTGTGGTGACTCCCAATTTCATTGTTACAAATTGAACATAATTAAAGCACAGTGATTAATCACAAAAACAATATGTAATTATATATGTGTTTTCCAACGGTCTTAGGTGACCCCTGTGAAAGGGTCGTTCAACCCCCAAAGGGGTCACGACCCACAGGTTGAGAACCGCTGCTCTAGGGTGACTCCCTGGGTCCCAACCCAGCTCTGGGAAAGCTTGAGAAAGTGACTTAATCTTGTTTGTGCCTCAGTGTTTGCATCTGTAAAATGGAGCATAAGTGGACCTCACAAAATGTTAAAAGTTTGGGGACCTCAGTGGAGGGCAAAGGGAGGTGCATTGCATGATCTTTCCAACTGGTCTGTTGGTGTGAAATTTTTTATAATCAAAGTTGGAAAACAAAATGCTAACACTATATTACAGGAAGGCTCTGAATAGTCAGTGGTGCGTGGAAAGTGCTTGCCACAGTGCCTGGCACCAGCAAACAATGGGTGCTTTTTAAAATGCCTGGCAAGAACATATATGCATAGCCCATGGACACAGCTGGCAATGGGGCTAGGGCCAGAGAGAGGGGAGGGCGGTCTGGGTGGAGGGAGCAAAGGGGGAGGATGGGGAGTGGGAGACATCTGTAATAATGTCAACAATAATCAAGCAATTAATTAATCAATTATCTGGCACCTGGCAGGGTAGCTCTTAAAGCACTGTCCCATGCACCAAGGTTGCGGGTTCGATCCCCATTCAGAGCACAGACAAGAATCAACCAATGAATGCATAAATAAATGGAACAACAAATCTCTCTCTGTGTCCCCCTTCCTCTCTCTCTAAAATCAACAAATAAAAACTTTAAAAACAATAATAAATAAAATACCTGGCAAACATCTATTCTCTGAAAGGTGTGAGAGACAAAAAGATAAAAGAAATAGCCCGGCCAGTGTGGTTCCGAGGCTGAGCCTCAATCTATGAACTAGGAGGTGATGGTTTGATTCCCGGTCGGGGCAGAGGCCCAGATTTCAGGCCTGACCCCAGAAAGGGGCATGTGGGAGGCAGCTGATCAATGATTCTCTCTCATCATTGATGTTTCTCTCCCTCCCTCCCTCTCCCTTCCTCTCTGAAGCCAAATAAAAAATATATTTTAAAAAATAATGAAAAAGAAAGTTGTTCAAACCCAGACTCCCCCCGGGCTCTCTCAGCTCCTCTGTTAAAGGTCTTGGCATTTCTTCCCTAGCTCAGCTTCAAGAGGTTATTGGAAGAAATGAGGTAGAAATGACTCCTTCGAAACACTGTACAAAGTAATCCAACTTTTATTGAGGCCTTTACGTTCCAGAAACTGACCACAGAGGCATAAGGCTCGGTCCCTGCCCTTGAGGAGCTCACAGTCTAGCAGGGAAGACAGCCGCTGAGACCGTTCCCACGGAGATGCCGGGCAGGGCCCGCCGCCCGCGGAGGAGGGACCCGCTACCCCGCTCGGCCCCCCACCTTCCAGGTTGGCTATGGGAAAGCTCATCATGGTCTCTCCCGCAGTCCCGGGGACAGTTCCAACTACTCTCCTCACCATGAGGACAGGGGAGAGACTAGGATTCGGGGGATACGTTTGCTGCCTCAAAAAGCTACAACACCCAGAGGATATGTACAAAGGTCCCTTTATTTCCCGGAGCCGCAAGCCAGCGCAGCGGAAGCTGGGTACTGAGTGAGGTAAATGGAAGAACAGGGGCTGGGCCAGCCCAGTCCAGTGGCGGGGAGGAGAGGGGAGGGTACCCAGGGCTAGGGCAGGAGGGCAGGGAGGAGGCTCCCAGGCGGAGGAGGAGCTCATAGTAGGGCGCCAGCAGCCACCGCCAGCAGAAGAGCCGCCAGCCCGGCCGCGGGCGCTGCCGAGCCTTGGTTATGGGCCCACGTTTTCGTGGGGTATTGCTCCTTATTACTGCGGTCCTGGTGGCCCGAGGCGCCTCCGGCCACGCTGGACTCCTCTTTGTGCGCCGTCTTGGGTTCTACCGCCTTCGGAGGGGTCTGGCTGGCGGAGGCGGGGCTGGATTTGGTGGTGGAGACGGGCTTGGTCGGTGCTCGGGCGGAGGTAGTGACCACCGGGGTGGTGGCGGCCGGAGTGGTGGACCGAGGGACGGGCAGCAGGACCAGGGGCGGGATTCGCGGGGAGAAGAAGGTCTTGTTGCGGAGGTCTGCGTTGCAGCGGGACCCCTTGCAGCAGGAGCCGCTGAGCGTGAAGCCGGGGCCTGTCACCGCATCCCGGGTGCAGAACTCGTCCTGGACGCAACCCCGGACAGGCAGGGACACGGTCACATTAGCTGAGGAGGGAGACACACACAGGCCGGGCGTTGAAGACAGGGCCGGGTAGGCCCCGCCAGAGTAAAACTTAGAGGCAAAAACCTCCAAAACAGCCCTCGCTGGTTTGGCTCAGTGGATAGAGTGTCGGCCTGGGGACCAAAGGGTCCCAGGTTCGATTCCGGTCAAGGGCACATGCCGGGGTTGCCGGCTCGATCTCCAGTAGGGGGCGTGCAGGAGGCAGCCGATCAATGATTCTTGATGTTTCTATTTCTCTCTCCCTCTCCCTTCCTTTCTGAAGTCAACCAAAATATATATTTTTAAAAAAACTCCAAAACAGGGACAGAGGGGCTCTGGTTCCATTGATCCAAAAGTCTCAACTCAGGCCCCACTTGGAGAAACACTGTCCCAGTCCTTGGCATAGGATGGGTCACAGTTCCTGTAGTAGTTTGAGAGGCTGAACTACAAAGAGAAGAGCAAAAGTCCCCCACCTCCCTCCTGCCCCCCCATAACACCGCCAATATTTAGTCCTAAAGTTAGAACTACTCTCTCATCATACACCTGGCAGAGGGGTGGGCGGTGGGAGGGATTGAAGAACTTCATCTCCCATGATTCCCCGAAGCAGAGGCCAAGAGGCTGCCCCACACCTCTCCTATGCGGTTTAGGGGGGCACCCTAACCCCTTGAGTTGTAAGGAGTCAGAACCAGATTCCCCGCAATGCCTGGGTAGAAGCTTAAAGGTTTAAATACATTTCCCACGGCAGGTCCCTGCATTCTGCACTCCGCAGGCCTCTATGGAAATGCATCTCCCGAAAAAACTAGGACAGAAAGCATCCTGTCCCCATGCCCTAGGACTGCGTTTCTCAAGAAGCTCTGAACACAAGACGAGAACTTAGGCCGACAGCGCCCAGAGTGCCTCGGAGGTGGGGGGACCCTTTGCGTAAAGCGCTGCCGTCGCCCAGAGGCCTCCGAAAGGCTGCCAGGGTCGCCGCCCCTGCTTCGCGGCTCGCTCACCTGCGTCAGGTGACGTTGTCGTCGAAACAGCCCTGGTA